GGGCATATCTCAGTGATTCAGTATCTATATACATTATGAGATGATCCCCACAATTGAGGCTAGTCACCACCGGTCACAACATACAGTCATCACAGTATCAGCAACTGTATTCCCTACACTGTACATGACAACCCCATGACTTATTTTATAACTGGAAGTTGGTACCTCCTAATCCCCTTCACCTATCTGGTCTGCCCCAACTCAACCCCCACTCTGGTAACCAACAGTTTTGTTTCCTGTGTCTGTGAGTCTGTTTCTGTTTTGTTTGTTCACAACAATCAAGTGACATTTTCACAGACATAAACTGAGCCACCAGAATAAAATGCAAATTATGTTTAAAAATTCAGCCCAATAAAATGGGTACTATTATACGTTGCTAGTAAATATAAAAAAACTCTTACAACCTTTTACAATGGTAATTTGCCATATGTATTAAGAACCTTAAAAATGAATGTAAAAACTCTTCTGGTCTAATAAATCCAGTAATAACAACAAAAACTAACACGGCATTTATGAAGGGACAGGCGTTATTTTAAGTAATTTGCATGTATGAACTCAATCTTCCCAACAACCTGTTACAACCATTTTCAGATGAGAAAACTAAGGCCCAGAGATGGAAAACTGGTCTGGGACATTGGGTAATCTGGCTGAGAGGCCACACTCTTAAGAGACAGGCTTCCCTGCTTTTCAATAATCTCCCCTAGAAATTCATCCCACACAGGTGTGAATCTGAAACCATACAATGATTTAAGTCTAAGGATTCTAACAGGGAAAATTAGAGACCACCGAAATGTGCAAGAGAGGAACAGCTAAACGATTATGGTTCATCCACACCATGAAATGCTATGCAGCAATTTCAGATTATGTTCCTTTGGGAGGCTGAATAATGTCCTCAAAAGATGTTCACACCCTTATCCTCTTCCCTGGAACCTGTACATGTTACTTTATATGACCAAGGGACTTGGCAGATGTAATTAAACTAAGAATCTGGAGAGCGGGGAGCATACTGGATCATCCAGGCAAATCCAATGGAATTACTAGAGTCTTTGTCATGTGCAAGCTCTGGGCAGGGAGCAGATGTGATGTAATCAGGAGCCAAGGAGTGCAGGTGCCTCTAGAAATGAAAAAAGGAAGGAAAGAGAACCTCCCTGGAGCCTCCAGAAGGAAGGAAGTCCTGCTGACACCTTGACTTTAGCCCTGTGAGGCTGACTTCGGCCTACTGACCTCCAGACTGTAAGGTGATACATTCGTGTTGTTTTAAGCCACTAAGTTTGTAGAAATTTGTTAATAGCAGCCACAGGAAACTAATGTATTTCCCAAAGAATATGAGAAAATGCTAATGAAATAATAAGTGAAATCATTCATGTACAGTGAGACCGAAGTTTTGATTTTAAGTATGTACCTAAATGCACAGGAAAGAAAGACCATGAGAAGGTATCTACTGAAATGGTGACACCGGCTCTACCTTTCAATGGCATGATTATACGTAGTTATTTTCTTCTTAATTCTCACTTATATTTTTACTAAAGGATATATTGCAGCTTTGTAATTAGATGAAATATAGCACTTTAATAAACATTTAAAAGATTCATAGAAAAACATGTTCTATTAAAACAGTGGCACAAAGATGCAAAATATGTTAAAGATTTAATTTTACTTGCACATATAGCTGAGCTTAAAAGGGATCTATTTCCTAGGAACTGTTTTCAAATATCTGTCTCTGTCTACCTTCTAGCTTACGGTTGAGCTTTTTGTTAGTTCATTCTGAACAGGCTTATCATCTGTGGTATCACTTACTCAAAGGGCCTACTTAGGGCTGTTACTGAATCCACTAAGTCTTTATCGGACTTAATTTCTATAAATTCTTCATGCAGAAGACCTGGTTATCTGTCCACACAAACGTATGCCCTGAAAAATGGTATTTACAAATTATGGATTTTCCATAAATAAGCATAATTATGCCTCACAGAGGTGTTTTTTTTAACCAAAAAAACCTGACATTAAATGCTAAATGGAAAATAAGTAGTTCCAATAATGCAAGCCAGGAATAAGGTTTAAAGAAATGTGTAAAAACAGAGACAAACTAAAGGAACTGTATCACTTGGACAAGCAACTAGTCTAGCTGACAGTTAACAGTCCTTGGAGTTGAGATTCTTCAACTTTACATTATACAAGAATACAACTAAGATAATAAATCTGGGTATAGCTAAAGTACGCCTAAAATGATTTCTTTGCAAACAACTAAAGAACACAATTTAGGGGAGAAGAAATTAACTTTATCACCTGACAGTCTTATAGTTATGCAGATATGCCTTGCTTTTTAATGAACCTTTACTGAAATCACTCCAGAGAAAACTGAATTGTGTTTAGGCCACAAAAGGGTACCATTTGGTTCAATTAAAATCTGGCTGTAAAAATACCACTTTTGTAGCTAATTGCACACTTGGCTGTATGACCACTGCTTCGTAGGCTACCATTTCAGCAAAGCCAGACCACACTACCTTAAAATAAAGGTACACTCTTAAGCCTGACAGAATCACTCCTTCTGGCACATTGTGTCCATTAGTTTTGTAGGGGAAAAACACAAATAACTGAGCTCAAAGAGTCAACAGCGCCAAAGGTAAGAAATGTGGTCTGCACTGTCTCGTATTGTCCATTCTTTCCCACATGCTGCTCCGGCCTCCTTATTCTCTTTATCCTTCAGGCATCTGGTGCTGGCTAGATAAGGCACATATGAGGCACCTCCAAACTGACTGCTTCCCTCACTTTACTTTCAATTCATTCCTTAAGGAAAAAGACATTGTCAAGATTAATAAATCTAGCAGAGTTCTGCAGCACATCAAAACTGACTAGGTCACAGGGAAGGGGAAATCAACTTCAGTCTCTTTCTACCGCCTCCTTAACCTGCCTCAGGCAAACACTGGAAGAGACCTAGGTCCCCTAGCCAAATGCCAACTACAGGGCCAAGCCGCCTCCTCTTGGTATTTCAAACTACCACAGGTCTGAGCTGCCAAGCTTTTGCAATAAAATGTAACTACTCTTCTGGTGCAAAGAGGCAGTTCCGAATCTCCCCCAAAAAACCCCACTTAAAACACTAAGGAGAGCCCTGGGCAGTTTACCTAAGCCTGCAGCCTTCCTAGCTTTTGTTACTCCAATTATCTGTGGCACTCACTGTGCCTGCCACACTAATAAGGGGCAGTGGGCAGGGCAATACCAGCAGGCTGACAGAAAATGGAATCAAAGAAAATGTGAATTTGAAGGGAATGCTAAAAACCTCTTGACTAGAAGTAATCTTTTTAGATCCCATGGAACTTTAGAACTGTCAATGGCTCTGCAAGCACTAAATAAGAACTTCTATTTTTTCAAAGATTTGACCAACTCTTGATTATAAGGGATGCTTGGGGAGTGCAATGAAGAGGCCTACTGGGCTAGAGTCCCAATCAGGCAGCTGCCACCAGCACAGCCGATAGGGGGACCATACAGTTTTACTTGCAAAAAGCCTTCTGCATCAATGGATAAACAAAAATATGTCATATCCATACAATGGAATACTATTGGTCCATAAAAAGGAATGAAGCCTTGATACCTGCTATGAGGTAGATGAGGGCTTTGAAAGTGTTGTGCTATAAATAAAAGCAGCCAAACACAAAGGCCACATATGATTTCACCTGAATACATGAAACACTCAGAAAAGGCAAATCTAGGCGGACAGAAAGTAGGTAAGTAGTTGGCTGAAACTGGGGTTAGAAATGGGTAGTGGCCACAAATGGGCACCAGGGATCTTTCCCAGGTGACAAAAATGCTCTAAGGGTGGGTAGTGGTGAAGACTGCACAACTCTGTAAATTTACTTCTTTAAAAATCGCTGATAAGTACACGTAAAACAAGTGGAATTTACGGAATGTAAAATTTACCTTAAAACCCTTAAGAAATAGTGGGTGCTGCACATAAGTTGTGAAGAATCACAGTTCTCCCAGACCGTCATTTTATACTCACCCATACTCAGACCATGGAGTCAGAGGGCGACTTACTAGCACAGTAATAGGTTAAGGGCCATAAGAAACTACGTTCTCCAGCGTTCAACTCTGAGATCCAAGCCAGTCTACTTAACTTGGAAGTGTTGAGAATCTAAAGTAAATAAGCATTTGATTTAATCTGCACAAACAGGCCACGGTTCTCAGGGGGCTCTGACCAAATCAAGGGGTAAACATCTCAATGAAAACGCAGCTGATCTTCAACAGTCTCGGGTGGCACAATCATGGCTGGGCAAGGCAAGACTTTGAGATGCACCAGGTCTGAAAGGCGTTCGGGTTCTGATTGTAAACCAAGTCTCACGGGCCCAACTTGCCGGCGAGCGAGCTCCTTACACTGCGTTTCTCAAAATCGGTGGAGCGGTGTGTACAGACAGATACGGCGAAGGCTGAGGTCATTTAACATCTGATACCACCACGCCTCGGGGAGCAGACCTATAACCATGAGAATGTTCGGGGCCCGAGCGCCAGAGCCCGGCACGTTATCCACTCCGTTCCAGCTCATTTCACAGGGAGGACGTGGTGACACTGAGCAGGCTACTACACCGTGTAAACACGTCCAAGGGCCGGCAAGCGACAATGACTAAAGTGGGGGCCGCTAACGGGGCGAATGAAGGGGACGCGCGTCTGCTGCGAGTGCCTTTGGCCCCACGCCCACGGCGCCTCCCTCGCCCTCCAGCCCCGCACCCCGCGTCCCCTTCGCCCTCGGGCCCCCGCGCCCTCGTCTCCCGTGTCCTCGGGTCCCGCGTCCTCCTCGCCCCCCGCGCCGCCCTCGCCCTCCGGCCTCACACCCTGAGACCCCCTCGCCCTCGGGCCCGGCGCCGCTCCCTGCGCGTCCAGGTCTAGGAGGGCCCGGCCGCCGGCCGCCGCCCGCGAAGACCCCGGCCCCGGGAGCCTCGGGCGCACCTGAGCGCGCGGGCTGCCGCGCCGGGGAAGGGCGGCGGCTCCCGGGGGCCGCCCGGCCCATCTACCTGCTGCAGCTGCCTCAAGCTCAGTTCCGACGGGCCGGGGATAACGGCGCCTCAGCGGCTAACACGCCTCGCGCCTCCATTCGGGGGCTGTTTACTCCTAACTCTCGCGATATCGCGCGAACCGGGCGGGGAGACCCACAGCTAGGGGCGCCAGCCTCTCCGGCCGCCTGCGTGCCCTGCGTGCCCGGCGCGGCGCCTGCGTGCGCGCTCTGGGCGCCCAAGGCCGCCGGGCCCGAGGCAGGCCGGACGGAGATCTCGCGACATCTACGGCCCGTGGGCTCGGAGGCGTGGCCAGCCTGTTTCGGCTGGGGCTGCGCGGGGCACCGCAGACTGTCGGAATGGGCGGGTGTAAGATGCGCGGGTTGACAGGGCCAGGAGCCCGGGGAACCGGCGGAACCCGCGAAAGACGAGCCTGGCGGAACAGCCCGCCTGGCCAGCACCGACCGTAAACGCCTGAAGGCTCGTACTCCAGAGCGCTCCTCCTGGGGCCTTCCGGGGCCGCTGACCCGGAGCCAGTCTTGGCGGCACCGGGCAACCGCCCTACAAACCTCCAACCGCTTTACCCGCGCGGTCGCGGACACGCGGGCGGGCGGGGTTGCTTGCTCGGCGCTGCTTGGTCGGGGCCTCGAATCCTCACCTCAGTCCCACCCTGACAGGTGGGCGTTGGGCTCTGCCCGGGGACTGAAAGCATGATTTATAGTTCATGCTGAAAAAAAATGATGTGCTATAGAGTCAGATAAAACTGCTTCTACCTCGTTGGAACTTTGCCCAGCAACACGATCATGAGGGTTAAAGGAAACACAAACACAAAGCTCGACTTTCCCGTGTTCATAAGCTGTGGTGGTTTTATCTAGACCAACCCACACCTCACGGAAGTCTCCCGTTGAGACTGCATAACCTTAGGAACTTTAAAGAGAATTCTTGACTCCTGCATTTGTAAATCCTCAAAGTTAAAGCACGCCCTAATGCTACCAAGTAAGGTACGTGAGTTTAAACTTAACTGTGTTGTTCCAACTGGGGGTAAATCGGTCTTGGCCAAGGTTCTTTTTAACAGCCCTTTAAAGTCACTATGCCACTGAATACACAGCCCAACTACTAGGAACTGGGGTAGGCTGGGGAACTGCAAACATCCTTGTCATGTGACACTGAAGTCCCAAAGCCTGGAAGGGGTGAAAACCCATAAGCTTCAGGGGGCTGAGGCATGAGAGAGAGGTGGCTTGGAAATCTACCAAAAAAGGCTGAGAGCCATAGGATCCTGGTCTACCAGTTTCCACGACTCCAGATTCTAAGATATCATCCTAAAAACTCATGCTTCATGTGTGTAATAAAGCGTTCACAATTCCACAGGAAGGTAAATTTTTATTCAAACCAAATACTTGTCTAAATTGTAACAGCAGAGCCAAAACTGAGATGACAGAGAGAGACTGGACTTGGTTTCAGAGGGCACACAATGTCAAGACTGAGGATACCACCTATCCCTCTGGTTCACAAATGTAACAAGTACCTGGGCTTAGAACAAAACAAAACAAAGACTGCTCAAAAGAGCTGTGTCTACTTGCTGTCTTCCTTTTTCCTTCCCACTCTCTCGAACCCAGGACAACATTCCTTTCATCCCCACGAGACAAAATGGCTCACAGCAAGAACGCAAGCAATTTCCACGTTGCCAGAGTCAATGATCAAACCACCCTGCCATTGTACTCAACTATCATATATATAATTTTTTATTGTAATTTTCTTGATGAATTACCAGTTTTTAATAAATTACTACCTCAGGTTTCATAGATTAAATTTTTGTGATTTTTTAATGTTGTTTCTTTGGGATAAAATGGTAACTCTCATTCCAAACAACCAGTTTACAAGCATGGAGCAAAACTTCTTTCAAAGGAAGCAGAAGCAAGTGCTTTTACTATTAAACTTACAGTTCAGATTGTTTCAAATGTTCTTACTTCTCACATTCCAAATAACAAACCCTGTCTACAGTGCCCCCAGAATCACTCTCAAATGAGCTCTAAGGACAAGTATTTCATGAAAGAGAAAACCTAGGAAGATTCATTGTTTTGATCTTTCACTAACTTTGCATCAGCATTATTTCTCCCACATAGGGAATTTTAAAACATCACTGACATCATTTACTTATTCTCATCTTATAACGATTCAACATCTAAATTATAAGACATTACTGTACCACATAACACCTTAGATATAAATATGGTATTTTTACATGAAGTCAGGTTTTATTCTAGTTTTAATGACCACAAATTAATTGTTGGGGGAGGGAATGTACCCATATGACAAAATGAAGGCTTCCGGGCTAACTCCTTCACAATCTTCAGTGTTACATAGTACTGACGGCAAATTTTCATATCTGAAGGTCTTCCTGTTATGTGATGAAGGCCTGATCTATAAGTGGAAACGCTTCTGAACTTAACCACTGACCTCCTAAGTCCAATATCTGAAAATACTGAGGCAACATCACTGGCAAAATTGTGGGTAACATAAATGCATGCTTAGGACTACTCATAATGGAGTATCATCTCAGGAGAAAACTATTCCATAGAAGTCCTGATTTCAATCAATTCACTAGTCTCTGCATCAGTGTCACAATATTTAAGCCCCAAATTTTAATTTGCATATTTTTGTCATACTCATGTAGTGATTTACAATTGTCAAAGCACTAGGTATATGGGCCTCCAAACGTTTGAGCTTACAGGACCTGAATCAGAACATTTTGCAGTAGGCCTCACTGCTAGCCCATAGTGTGGGGGGTTGTGCACAATTATCTCCACACCAATAAAAGTATTCACTCTAAAGCATAAATTCATTACATGAACCAAAAATGAGCTTCTAACTTATTTCAAGAGATACGGCATATCACACACATAATTGTTCATATTTTAACTACTATTCCATAAATACTTGATGATTACACCAATAATGGTACTGTAACGGAACAGTATTACATAGAAAAGTGTATGAAAAACAGATATAACAAGCTCTCATGGGCTAAATTTCAGTTACTAAAAGAGTCATAGGCTGAGAAATCACTACTTATCCACAATAACTGTAAGTCAAGAGATGACTAATGGTCAAACATTACATGTCAAATCTCGGAATGAATTAATTCCACAGCAGATTAAAAAACAAAACAACAGAATGTAATAAGCAGTATTACACATGGCAAACCTACAGCACAAAATTAGGTAGGCTTGTTCAGTATGAAAAGGAATAAACTAGAATTTTAACATCCCATAAAGGTTCCACTTAAGCCATCATGACCAAAAATCTTTTTCAAAGTAAATTACCCATAAATAAAGTGGCCAGATGCACACAACATACATACATACATGGTTCTCTAATGAAGTACCATTTGAAAAGCAGCATCTTCATAGACAGATAGCCAAACAACTAGAGCTATACAATATAATACACACAGATTTCTACTGTTAATTATACCAGTGCTCTTACAACCTTTTAAATAGTCGTTTCTGATGAACATTTGAAAACCAATATTATAATGTATCTATTGAAATAATTTCCCTTAAAAAACAATCTGAAATTGTAAGAGCTGAAAAGTCATATTATATTTCATTATCAGACTGCTGTAGCTCCCAGAACAACATAATCACACACCTTTTGAAAAGCTTAAGAAAAAAGCAACAAAATTTAGGTTTCCTCAATCCGTTTCTGTGCCTTCATCATTATTTACGCTGTGCCATCCTGTGGCCCTTGAGGTTTTTCCACAGCATTCTCTTAAAGTATTATGTTTGCTTTGCAAATGATAAGTCAGCAGTATGCTACATAACCAGTGATAAGAGAACGTACAGAAGATAAATCAAATGTGTTCTTCCAAATGTCAGAATACTGCAGGTTCATGAGTTGGCAAAACTTCCCAAACCATCATCCGGTTTCATGCTTTGCAGGATAAGGCCTCCTTCCGTAAAGAATGATTGAGAATATTTGCTCCCCACACCCAGAGCCACTCAGGCATATACTGTGCAAAAAGAAACTAAAAATTAAAGAGAAAAAGGTTTTAAGGTTAGAACCAAAAGCCAACAGAAATGGTTTAATTCAACAAATGTCTCCAATCACATTACATATAAAAGAAGGAAAAGCCCTTAGATGCTACTATACTGAGCACCTATTTTTGCCTATGACCTTACACTGGACTCTTGGGAATAGACTGCATGATCACCACCCACCTACTTCCTCTCAATAATGAGGACAGACGGACATGCAGTAATACAATTCCATCTTTCCTTAACGTGATATGAATAATATGTTCACTTGGTTAAGAATTACAAAACCATGCCAGAACAAAAGGCAGCTGAAATGGATAAATGCATAGGTGGTTAGGACTGTGTGAGAACACTGGGATTTGAGGGACAGGATGAAGTGAGGTTAAACAAGGGAATGGAGCCTGGGGCTGTCCTGAGCCACGATGAAGGCCAGCTTGGGGATCCAGACAGGGAGTCCTGCTCTTGCTGCTCGGCCCCCGGGGTTTCACCCGGGTGTTCTATACAGCAATGTCCAGAGAAATGTCCTGTCACAACCGTGTGGTGGTGCTCCTGGCACCCAGTGGGTAGAGCTGCGGCATGCTGCTGACATCCTGCAGTCCACAGAACAGCCACATGACGAGGAATCGCCCAACCCACATGCCCACAGCACCAAGGTGCAGAAACCCTGCACTGTGCTGGCAGGTCTGTCCCACAGTGAGCCAAAGTCCTACCTGTATGTTGAGGAATGGAGATGGGCAGGCCCTGGCAAATGCTGAAATTCTAGCCTTGCACAGATGTATAGTAATAGAGCTCACCCATCCTTTCCTTGATAAACAGACCCGGATTCCTCTGCAGCCCGAGGGAAGCACACTGAGCGAGGGGTCCCCGTGTCATCAACTGTGAGATACAGTTTCAGAGCCACAGACAGGGACGTAATTATGGTCTCTTTGAAGCTCTTTGAAAAGCCAGGATTTCGTGGAAAAAATACCTGGATACACTTCCTTGGAGCTACTAACCCAAAAGAAAAGGTTCTAAACCCAAGGAAATAACAGAAGTCAGCTGCGGTCCCTGGAGGACCTGTAGGTAAGGCGGCGCTCGAACATGTAGGCCTCCAAGACAGAATAGACAGCAGGGTCTCCCCCTCATGGTGGGGTGGTCCCCTTATCCATGGTTTGGCTTTCTGCAGTTTTAGTTCCCCCCAGGCAGCCAAGGTCCGGAAGCAGAGAGCCTCCTGAGCTCTGGTCAGAGGTCAGCAGCAGCCTAATACTGTGTCACAGTGCCTGCGTCATTCCCCTCAGCCACCTCATCACGTGAGCATTCCATCATCTCACACCATCTTAGGAAGAAGAGTACAGAACAATGTTTTGAGAGAGACAGAGAGACACACCGCATTCACATAGCTTTTCTAACAGGATATGTTAGAACCGCTCTATTTTATTGCTGTTGTTCATCTCCTACTGTGCCTAGTTTATAAATTAAACTTTGTCACAGGTGTGTATGTATAGGAGAAAACACAGTTATCTAAAGGGTTCCGTACTATCTGTGGTTTCAGGCATCCCCTGGGGTTGGTGAAAGGTGTCCCCCACAGCTAACGGGGAATGACTGTACATTTTCAGTGTTTACTTAGTGGAGAAGAGACCAACATCTAAAAATCTGTTTCTGATTCCCATTCACAACAGCTGTCTATTGCAGAGGCACCGGGCTCAAGGCCTATTCAGCCAGTTCCCTAAGGTTCTGCCCAGGGACTCCTCACGGGCACACCCTTTCTGCTCATCCCAGGGAGACTTTAGCGCCCTGGGCAGGAGGGTGGAAACTGTGGGTGAAGGAGCTAATGGAAGAGGAGGGGTGATTACCACCCTCTGAGTACTGACTGGTAAACTAAAGGGGCTGATACACTGACCTGTTTAGACAACAGTTACCAGAAAGGAGTGCCAGGTCTCTCAGCACTGGGAAGTGCAGAAGAGTACCCAGAGGGAAGTGAGTTGGCAGGCGGGTGGAGAGTGTATATGGGACACAGAGAGAGGGAGAGGAGGGGTGGCCTAGCTTCCCTAAGGCCTGGTGCCTGTCCAAGGATCCTGACCAGTCCAGATCTGTCCAGGCCCAAGACGGGAGTTGCTGCTCCTCCACAAAAGCAAAGCCGACATCGACCGTTCTGACAACAGGGAAGCCCATGTAGTAAGACTCGGGGACCCTGACTGGAGAAGAGGGAGTCAGTAGTAAATGTACACATTCAGCTCCTTGGAAATGTGCATTAGCAATTAAAATGCAAATGGTACACATTCCCCAGGGACAGAGACAGGTAGGACATAAAGAGGTAAGAAATAAAAGGAATGGAAAGGATGGAGAATATCCCAAAGAACAGAGGTCGATCCCTAAACTGGAGTTATTCCAAAGGTGTAAACCAAGCTGCTGCAAGGGTATGTCATTAAAAGTGCCATTCCCAGCTGCCGGGGAGCCAGGAAAGAAGGGCTTTAACCCCTGATCCCGCTATCAGCTGCTCCTTCAGACTCACCCACAGCAGCCCCAGGGCCTTTGCAGGGCAGGGCTTCCTGGCTCCACCTCTCCCTGAGCCACCACCGCCTGGCATCAGTAAACCTCCATTCAGGCCTCTACCTCAGCACCCATCCGTGCAGCAGCCCACCCCACTCCTCTTAAGTATTTCCCAGAAGAGTAAAACTCGTTTCTCCCAAAACCTGATCTCTCATGCTATCTGAGCAAATGGTGCCACTGAGTTTCTGCAGCCAGACTCGAGAATATGGGCTGCTCCTTCCTTTCCTTCAACCCCTTATTTTCAATCTACCTCCATATCTTGTCAAGATATAAACAGTTAATCATTTTTACTTATTTCATAATGTAGAAGACTCACTGGAATAAACAGCATAAAATACAACTTGTTACTTTCTGTTTGGCCTATCGAGCTTCATACAATATACTTCTCAGAGGCTAATGACTGACAGAGGATTGACATCTTGACAAAATTTAGATCTTTGCAAACTGAGAAAACTGCACTCAGCAGAAATGATGGCAAAAATCACAAGGCAGAGCGATCAGAGAAATCTGCTGTGGCCGGAACAGTGACTGATGAACCAAATCTTTGTTGTAAAATTGAAAAAAGAAGTGATGATGTTGAAAATAATTTGAATAAAATAAAAATAGAAAAAAATGGGAGGCTTTAATAGCTTTGCATACAAAGCTACTCCAGGTGTTAAATTAGCTTAACAGAATTCCTTGGCTAAAAAACATACATGCTCAGGAAAAATTCATCAGTGTGAACAAAGGTCCACCGTAATGAACACGCTGGTGTTCTACAAATCCAGTCACAGCATCTACTGCATCTAAACCCATCCTCACTCTCCTCTTTTTGTCCTCCCTCAGGGATGCAAATTCAGGCGACAAGCAGGTTTTTAGCCCGTTTCTTAACTTTAACCAGAGGAGCCTGTGCTGGGAATGAGATTCAGAGCCACGGCCTGAAAAGGCCGATCCGTTTCCTTCACTGCGAGTCTTCCCGGCAGAGCCTGGGGCTGCTGGCTGGATCCCCCGGGGCAGGACCACTCTCATGTGAACTGCACACCGGATGCAGATGCTCCACACAGGGAGCTTTTCTGAAAGGCCTTCGGTAGGATTTCACTCCTTCATGTATCAGGCAGGCGGAGGGAGGGACAATTTTCAGAAAAGCCACTGATGAAAGGGTTCAAGATTTTAGGCACTCTGGGGCTTTCCTGCTAGAACACCTCCGTCAGGAACCTGCAGTTCTGGGGGATTCTCAGCACTCTGAGGGTAGTGCCCACCCTGTCCTTCCCCTGCTTCCCCCGCCCTGTCCCCCCAGACGTAAAGACCACTTCTGTCCTTACTCTTTCAGTTCATGAAAATTAAGTGAGTATCCTTTGAGATTTCTGGATTTACTCTGGGTGATCTGGAGACACACGAGGCCGTCAGGAACTCTGGTAGACGTCCAACAGATGAAGCCAACACCCATTTGTAGTTGATTTGGAGGAAGGGGTTATTCTTAAAAATTAGCCAAATTCACATTATGTTGGGAGTTAATTAACTCTTGAATCCAAATGTCCTCTGTAAATGAGGATAATACCAGACATAAGGACACGACTGTCACGGGAATTCGATAATGTAAAGCATGAGAAGCTCCTAGCACAAATCTTGTGAAGAGCTCAGCAATGTCTATTATTATTTTGTTATCCTTGTGGTTAGGAAAGTCCTCAGCTAAGGATGACACGGTCTAAGCCTAATACAGAGTGACAGCCCGGGAGCACAGAGCCAGGCTTTGTCAGCCAGCGCAATGCAATCACACCTGGGTGGAGAAAGATTATTTTCGACCATGGAAGTGCTGTCCGGCTTGGCCGCTGCCACACCTTCTTCCTCACTTCCTACTCCACCTTCTCCATGTCCATCAGCCCTTATCTTCACCTTCCTTTCTCTCTGGCATTCCATCCCCTACACTCAGCAAAAACCCAAACCAGATCAATCTCATTGTGTGGACTTCTTCCCTTCCACGCCGATGGCTGAGCTCTGCAGAGAAACCCCCACTGTGCAAACTGATGGCCGGCACCACAGCACCTGGACTCCAGCACCACTGGGAAATGCCTCTGCATGTCCCCGACGCACACCTCACGGAGCTCATGCTCCTCAGGTCCTCTGCCTCTTCCTCCCCCTTCTCAGCAGAAGACCTGGCCTGCCTGGTTCTTAGGCAAATGGAGGCCCACAGGCAGAGATCTCAAAGACTGCTGCTCCTCTGTGCACATACTCCTGTACCCACATTCACCTCTCTCCCTTTTCTGGTTATGGAGGATCCAACTTTTTCCCTTGTTCTCAGGATTCCCTCTCCTGCATCTCACCCTTGCCTAGACTTCCTAAATGCATTCACCTGCGTTCCTCTCTCTCCCTCTATTACACACACACACACACACCTCCTTCCATATTCCTTCCATTCCAGCTTCTGTTCTTAGCCTCTCTTCTTCCCTTAATGGCCAAGCTTCCTGAAAGGTCTCACAGATCATCTCCACTCTCATGTGTGCTCACTCCTGCAGCCTGCCTTCATGCTCTGTCCCTCCACCTCCACCGAATCCACCTTGCTGCTGTGTTGAGTGGGCTCTTTCCAGGCCCTGAGTTACTGGATCCACCCGGAGCATTCCCTGTTAACTGACAGCACTCCACCCTGGGCCTCCCCTGTCTCTCGTCACTCCTCAGCATTCTCTGTGAGTGGCTCCTCCTAACTTACCTGACCCGTGTACATTTACAGTCCTCCCTCTGCTCTGGCCTCAGCCTTCTCCCTCATGTGCTCCCTGGTTATCTTATCCTCACCCACAGCTTTTACCACCACCTCACTCCAACCCACATCACTCTTCTAAGGCCTAAATGCACGTGACTGGCTATAAGATGAGTCTACTCAGATGTCCCAGAGGTACCTGAAAATCATGACTTCGTTAACCAACTCTCCTATCCTCTTACCGATACCCACTCTCATCTCCCAGATCAAATTAGTCACCAAAGACAGTTGATTCTACCGCCTAACTTGTTGAGCTCATTCTTCAGCTCCCCACCCACAGTCAATCCTAAGTTCAAGAGCCAGTCTTTTCCTACCTCGACTACAGCAACAGCCCCCACCCATATCTCTGCATGGCCCTACAGCACCCCAATCCGCCCCCAGCGGGAGCCTCGCAAAGCCAGATCCAGTGGACCTCTCAACCCCATCCTCATTCTGTCTCCACTTCTTAGGGAACTTCACGGTCAGGGCACCTAAAGCTACTTTTTACTAGTCACTAAGGACCTGGAAATAACCATTTAAAGAAAGCTCCTCCTTACTAAAGAAGCTTTTAGCTAATTTTCTTGATAAAGTAAAAAATTAACTGTTGCTTTGCTTTTCTGTTTATTCAGTAAAAGTAACTTTAATAATCTTTATTCAAAGAGTCCCAAACATGTTTGTTTGGTAATAAAGAAAACCTTGCATATTAAAGAAAAACAATTCAAAACTTGGACACGTCTACAACTAGGCAGACAAAGAAACCACAGTCCATTAGAGTAAGTCATTGCGAGTTCTCCATCCATCTAGTCAAATTTTCAAATATTTAACAAAGTTGCTCTTTAAAATACTAAAGACCCAAATGTTTGTCTTGCCTGAGCCAAGAAACTTAAAAAAAATTCTATGCTTCTTGAACAAATGAGTGTAATATACTGAGGTATCACTGGACATAACACTTACATGAAGCATTGACCTATTTTGTGGTTTATGTTCTGGATTACACTTTTGGCTTAGCGGTACCCCAACAAGCATTACTAGAATCTTTTTAATTTTTAAATACCCACATAAATACTTAGTATTTTTATACTACTACCATCTACTTATATGAAAGCAGCATATTTCATCTCTTTGGTGCCATGTAGGCTCAACTTTTAAATGTCCTTGATATAATAATTCCACAAAAGAGAATTTAGTGACCTAACAAGAACCATTCAGGGTGTCAGGTTTAAGAATCAGAATCTAATAAATCTCATTTGTGAGCAGTAGGCTTCAGTCAGAGTCCCATGCATCACTTAGAAAAGTCTCAGATGCATTAACCTAATTACAAGAGTGAAGCGCATACTATTACCTGGATAGAATGGGACCAGTATCCTGTGGTCCTTTTTGAAATGCCAAGAGTAGAAACAGCGTGATGCGCGTATACTTTGGGTGAGGGCACCAACCACGAGCACTTGTGCAGAAAGCTGCCAGGTGCGGTCCTGTTGGTAGCCACGTAGAAAGGGATCAGACTCTGCACAAAGATTCCTTTGGAAGCATATTCATACTGCAGTGCCCTGCTGAAGTGGTCTAAATATGCCTGTTAAAATGGAGCAGGGGAAAAGACTTACTTTTTCAGGAACATGGAATGAAATTCAAGAGAAAAAGGCTTATTTTCATGTCAGGAAAAAAATACGGCAGAGGCAAACATGAGTTGCTAACAAAGAGCATAACAAATTGAACCAAACATGATGATAAGTTCTAATAAGTGTCCTCTTGCATTATGACTTGACCTTCTCATCAGGAATGCATTACCTTGGAAGCGGAAAATACAGCCAGCTGGGGAGTTGGTTTGCAGCAGGAGCCAGAGGAGATGGTGACAACAGCGCCCTTCTTTCTCTCCACCATTCCCGGTAATACCATGTGGACCATCAAGCTAGCTGCGGCCATGTTCACGTTTATGATGTCCCAGAGTTTGTCCTCGGAGACCTGAGTAAAATACTGGGGGTAGGGATAAAACACGCCTACATTATTTACCAGGATGCCAATGTCTTTGTCTTTCAAGGCTTCTCGGATCGGGTCATAGATCTCACGGCCGTTGCTGAAGTCTGCAACTATAATATCGGTTTCCACTCTGTAGGTGTCAGCTATGTCTTTAGCAACCATCTGCAACTTCTCTTGGTTCCGACTAATCAGGATGATATTGAGACCACGGCTTGCTAACTCTTCTGCATAGGCTCTTCCAATCCCATCTGTCGCACCTACAGTACAAGCC